TGGGGGGGGGCAAAGCTATGACTCACTATGTTTTTAGCTAATTTCACGAATCTTGGGTACATGTCAGGTTTTGATAATTTTTCGGCGTTTAAAATAATATTTCAGAAAACAAACCCCATCACGTTTCTAAGTATACATTAGTGTATCACTGGACAAAATCAGAAAACATTTCATTTTTCATCATGTGCCACCAGTTGCTCGGTGATAGTGGAGATTCCCTCTTAAAAGAAGTTTTAAATACAATACAAATGCAATTATAATTTGCTGAATGCCGATTTCGCAATTTGGGGAGGTGAAGCACCCCCCCCCCCCCCCCCCCCCCCCGCTCGTGACGGCCCTGAAATTGATAGTTTTTTATTCGTCGGGTTTCGTTTTTCTTCAATGTAGACGAAGTGTTTACATCAATTTCATGTTCTTGAAACAAGAATATTTAGTTGTCGATAACTGTAAATTGCCTAAAAATAGTCGTCGAAAACTATGGTTTCAAAAGCGTTGCCTCAAGCTCAAGCAACGTAGAAAATATGAAATATAATTGTGCAAGTTTAAAAAGTTTATTGAACTAGTACTCCATTTATATTATAAAAGAGTTGAAATATTTGTGGAACATACCTAATGAGTTTGTCTTGATCTTTTGTGTTTTGTTTTGGCTTGCACAACAACATATTAACATAACGTTGAAAATTTATTTTTAAACGACGATTTCTGCATATATTCTGTTCAGAACTATTGCTTTTCGTAAAAAAAAAACACTGGAATGGGTTTTTAGACACTTTTTCGTCTTTACCAAACTTTTTTTCCATTTTAAGTCCCGATATAAATTTTTTTGCAAACTTTTCAGCTGAGAAAACAATTCGCACTCCCTGCAACCGCGTGAAATTCCTTGTCTCAGGAGTCTGGGACCAACAAGAATGCACTTTTCAATGCGCCATTTTGTGGAGAAAATTTTTTTACGGACAAAAGATAGGAAGACGCATTCTATGCCTATTATTTCAATGGTTTCAATCAATTTGATTATAATTAGCCGTTCTGCGATACTTCGCGCCTAATAGCAATGTCAGATTACGATAGTCCTGACGGTGATTTAGACCCAGTCTCGCGTATTGGCATATAGAATGGAGCTCGAAATGAGAAAGGTCAAAGGCACGGTTTTTGGTGAGGCCACGCTAAAGGCTCACACAGACCGGACACGATATGGCGATTTTCACGTGGCGGCGCGAACAGAAATAAATCAATTCATTGAAATTCGCAGGGCGACTTTGGAAAATTCGCTTTCAGAGCGATTTTTTCGCTTTGCCAAAATATTTGCAGAGTTTTAGCCAATCAAAAGTCCGGAATTTTTTTATGTGAAGACGGGAAAATAGCGGCGGCTTGCTCTCTCTCAAGCAACACTAGACGAGAAGCTTATTTTGTTGGTGGAAAAGTTTACAGAACTATACGACAAAACACACAGTTGCTACAAGGACGTGGAGTTGAAGGAAAATATATGGACAAGTATCAGCAAAGAGCTAAAAGTTGAAGGTCACTAAACAACGACATTAAAGTAAAAGTCGTTCTTAAGAATGATATATTTTCTCATCATAAAATTATCTTTGTTTATACTTTAGTTCATAATATTTGTTTTCAACGTTAAGCCAGATATATGAGACGAGCTAGTTTTTCTATGAAAAGTTCTAGTTGCTAGCATACAGGCAACTTTGTATTTTCCCCGAAAAAATGACAAAGTTCGACACTTCGAGCTTATTTTGCTTTTATTAATGACAATAAATGATTACTATATATATTTACTTTCAGCAGCATTTGCCAAAAAAAGTTGGAAAAATCTACGAGATACATATTTAAGAAGAAAACGGGAAGAAGAAGGACGAAGTGGTGATGCTGGTGGAAAGAAAAAGGAATGGAAATACAAACAATCATGGGTTTTTTGGAGCCATTTATTGATACTGCAATGTACTGTAACTTAATTTGAACTCTGAAATAAATTGCGGGCTGATAAGCCCCGTTACGTTATTTTAGCAAGCTTTAAATAACAATTAATTTATACTGACTTCAGCACTTTGTCACACCTAACTGATGTATTTAGGGTTGAAGAAAACATAGGGTTGTTACAAGATGATAAACCGTAAACCACGAGATGCTGTTTCTGAGCAAATACTGAATTATTTGGACAAAAAGAGCAAAAGTAGTGCTGAAAAATCTGATGAAGAAACATTTGCATTAATTATCATTCCCCCTTTGAAACGACTGACTGACCAGAAAAAAGCACTGGCCAAATTACGTATACAACAAACTCTCTATGAAATTGAGTATGGCACAGGCAGTCATTGTTCATAATTTTATAATTCATATAGACTTGTTGTTATTATTATAATTACCCAACACATTTGTTGCAAAATTGCAGATTCATTAACTATATTTAAATTAATCAATTAGATATATAACATTGAATAATTAATTTTCTGTACAATACATTGTAACCCAGTTTTAAGATCAATAAATTGTTTTACAAATTGTCGTGTAAACTGTGCATACTGTAAATCACACTGCCGTACCTCTTTGGACTGTTGTATACTGCCATGGAACCTCTCCATCACCCATACAAAAGTATGCCTTGAATTTATCCCTACAAGCATATGCTTGCATTGAGGCTCTGCATCCCATATTTGGAATATGTTGCAATCCATGAACTTCATGCTGATCCGTCTCTCCTTCATCATTATTGGTAACCAAATCATTACAATGCAGTTTTTGCAAGTAATAATGTAAAATACAGCATGCTTTAACCAGCTTTTCACATTTGGAGGGATGTAAATTGATACGCCTTTGAAATATTCGCCATCTCTGAGCCGGAATTCCAAAGGCATTTTCAGAAATTCTGCGTGCCCTGGATAGTCGGTAGTTAAAAACCCGCTTGTCAATGGATAGGGCTTTTCCTGGATATGGACGCAACAAATATGTTTTAAGCGGGCAAGCTTCATCACCCACAACAACATAAGGCATTGACCCCAACAAAGAACCCTCCGGCAAGCGAACAGGTGGAGCCAAATTGAGTTGGTTTGTTGCCAGTCCTTGACCAAGCAAAGAGTTAGCAAAAATATCCCCATCACTATTGGATCCATCGCTTCCAATGTCCACAGCTAAAAAACAGTAATCTGCATCAGCTAATGCCATCAAAACAAGGGAAAATGTTCCTTTATAGTTGAAAAACAAGGAACTCGAGTTGGGTGGTGCTTGGAAACAGATATGGTTTCCGTCTATGGCTCCCACGCAATTTGGGAAATTCCATCTTGACTTAAATCTCTCTGCAAATGTTTACAATTCATCTTCAGTAGGCATTTTCATGTGTGTGTTCACAAGAGACACTCAGAGTGCTTCACATGTTCCTTCCACAATATTACCAACAGTTGAAGCTCCAACTCTATAGCTGAAACCAATTGTTTTGAAGGAATCTCCTGTGGCTAAAAATCTAAAAAAAAAAGAATTGGTTGAAGATTTTTTATACGATAACAATAAAACTGTCAATAATATCTTGTATCATTATCATACATGCAATACTTATTTCCCCCTATGTAGTTATTGTGGTTACTTCTCCCCCTCCCAGAACTTTCCCAATTTTTAACCCTTGTGGCATGTTTATGAAGTGCCGAAGTTTACTAGTGTTAGAGCATTTCTTACACGGTCCTTTTCTGACAGATTTGACCGTTTGTGATGACTTTTGGGCAAAGGAAAGCAGTCCATAATTGATAATGTACATTTAATATTACAGCTTCGTTTATATTCATTATCCTATTAAAATATAATTTAGAGATTTTTAAAATATACGTGGAGTACAAAATCATAACAAAATACATTAAACAAATTGCTAGTCTTTGTTCGGGATTTATCGGCGTTCTATAGTTCGTCGTTTGTTTGCGGATATGAGGTCCAACGACATGCAGAGATTGTCAAACGTTTCAGGAGTCATTCTGAAATACTGAAGGAATCTTTGTTGATCTAATGTAAGTTCTTGCACGAGACTGTGAAATTCAGCTAGCTCCTGCTTTTTTCTTATTATCTCGTGAAACCATGTTCGTCTTCTGAGCGGCCAACATCATCTGTAAACGAGCAAAAGCAACAACAACTCCTCTTCGGTGTCCGCAATTTTTTTCTTTGCGTGCGCAAAATCGCCGCCAGTTTGTGCACAAACTTTGCCGCGATGATCACTTCTTCAGATGTTTTTATCGCGTCGCGTCCGGTGTGTGTGGACCTTAATGAAGAAATGGAGATAAATATGTTGACGAATATTGCGAGGACAAGAGGCATGGATTTTGAAAATCCAATTCACGAATGGAGCAAGGTATTGTGATTATAATGTGTTCTAATTGAAAGAATTTGGTAAGACACTTTTTACTAATTTACATTTATTTTACAATAGTCATACACAAATATTGCTATTTTTATGTTTATTGACTCTGTAATCCAAATCGGTTTCTGTATTCTATCCTTCTTACACATATACCAACCCCATTTCCATTATATGCTGACGAGTCCATGAGACCATGAAGGACGAAACGCCGCGTGCAGGGATATTGAATTTTACACACATGACTATCTCTTTCTCTCGCTCTATATATTTTACATGCCTACATACAAGCTTTTTATACTTTATAGTGCAGCGCGATCATACTCTAGCTTTATATATTTAGCTATATCAAGTATATATTTTACACCACAGGTTATATTTATTTACCTTTACAATATTGCACATCATGCATCTCCAGTTTTGTGTTTCATAAATCTACACATGTAGGCTACTTATATTTCTTAGGTTCTCATTTATACAAATACAAGTCGTTTTTTTATCTTTTATCCTCAGTTTCATCAAATACAACATAATTTTCACAGGCATACATTGTGCCAACAACACGAGGCCATCACACTATCATATTTCATGCACACAGCACTTTTTGATCCAATATTTAGGGATTATTGAGGCATAAAATTATTACTAGGACACCAATATGGTTCTCATTATATCTAAACTTAAAAAACGGGTTATGAAGATGTTCCATCTTTTCTTAAGCAGTGAAAGCTATAAATAGGAGTCTGTATTTTTCTCTGCATGCAGTACATATCCCACTATAAATCACGGCGCAACGCAAAATATAGCCTTTGCCTCAGCAGGAATACTTAGGAGTCCTTTTAGTGGAAACTCCTGTGCCTGAAAGATGTGCCATCTTTGCTGGCAGGTTATGAAGATGCTCCATCTTTTCTTAACCAGTGGAAGCTAAACAGGTGTCTGTGTTACTCCATGTATACGGTACATATTATGCTATAAAACACGGCGCAACGTAAAACATATATATAGCCTTTGGCTTTGCCTCTGCCGGAATAATTAAGAGTCCTTTTAGTGGAAACTCCTGTGCCAGAAAGATGTGTCATCTTTTGGTGGCAGGTTATGAAGATGCTCCATCTTTTCTTAACCAGTGGAACCTAAATAGGAGTCTGTGTTATTCCTTGTATAGGGTAATGCAGGGCAAAATGAGACACCTAAGGACATTTACTGTTGTAGAATGGAAGACATAGCAATTTGAATTTTCTTTTTGACTTGGGTATGTGAGGTTGACTCACAGCAAGATATGTAAAGCAAAAAAAAATGTTTGAAATAATTTATTTGCAATAAATCGAGGAAAACCTAGCAGTGGTAATTGTCTCATCTTGCCCCGGCACAGTGAGGCAAAATGAGACAGGGCTAAAAATTAAAAATAAAGTCAATATAATTATACTTATTTTAATAGAACTTTAGAACTAATTATAAAATACATGTTTCAAATCATTTTTAAGTTCAATGTCACACACACACAGGTCACATTGGCTGCGGTAACAGTACAGCGTTCTTCGTGACACCATTGTTTGCATTGTGAACAAGTCATCCAATCCTCACCAGGCATGACTTTGACCAACGTTCACCACAAAAAGATAAATTTTTTAGCCTACCATTGATTCGGCGATTTAATCCCTGTAGACATTTGAAGCTTTCGTATCGACAGTTCTTCTCAACTGCAGAGATGGCAAGACGGATCCGACCCTCATTCCAGTTTGCACATTGAGTTTTGCATACATAGTTCCTGACCGTCCTAAATAAAATAAAAGTTAGTTTGATTTGTGACACGGACTAAGCTGTTTATAGCATAAAATATATGACATATGAACTTATGATAAATTGTAGAATAAAAGTACATATTGATTCAATCAGAAACATAAACCCTTTAACTTTCGCAAGCAGGAGAAAGTGGTATTAAATCAACAATTGAGGAATATAATACAGATAGTACTGGTAGTAATCCAAGATAGTATTTATATCATATATATTAAGAGATTGACAATAAGCTAGAGCACAGTAAAAGGTGAAATGAACAGCAACACACTGAATAAATATACATTACTTGGTTTAGACTCAGCTGTCTCATTTTGCCTCAATGGTATAAGCTCAAGTCAGTCAAATAAACACGCCAAAAATCAAAGTATAGATGAAAATTGACAAAAATACCACGTGTGACTTGAAAGACCATGTTATAAACCCCACCAAACAAATAGGTTTTATTCGATACATGCGATGTTCTAGAAATAACAACCGGTTAGCTAAAATAGCTAAGTAATAACGTACCTTTAATTGCCGATCGATCATCCAAATTGGTTTAAAAAATCGTTATTTTCTCGTTGTTTTTGTGCAAATTTAACACAGCTTTCGACGAAGTATAGAAGCAAAAATGTTTGTTACTGAGCCTGCGATGATTGTGGTATAAATAATTAAATAGAACGTCATATAAGTGCGAATGAGTCGGAGTGTCTCATTTAGCCTCACTGTCCCATTTTGCCCTGCATTACCCTACAGTACATACTATACTATAAAACACGGCGCAACGCAAAATATAGCCTATAGTTCGCTTTGCCTTTGCCGGAATAATTAAGAGTCCATTTAGTGGAAACTCCTGTGCCAGAAAGATGTGCCATCTTTTGCTGCCAGGTTATGAAGATGCTCCATCTTTTCTTAACCAGTGGAAGCTAAATAGGAGTCTGTGTTATTCCTTGTATACAGTACAGCACATATTATATATACTTTTCTTTTAGATTTTTTAATAACCATGATCTTTTCATCTATGTTATGTCAATGAAAGACAAATACATAAATTCACTAGTTGCTAAATTCTGTTATGATATTTTAAAAACATTTGACCAATTGTAAGTTTGTATCTTAAGCTCATTTTCCATATACTGTAATCAGTTTATTTGTTTGTATTAAAGTTATTACTAGAAAATACATGCATGCAGAAACCCTCGCCTTGCTGACAAAACCATTGTATTTTCCGAACATGAAGTTCTAAAGTAGTTGTCATGGTAACACGATAATTCTTTAAGAATATTCTTACAAATGAAAAATCGCATAAAAATATCACTTTTAATTACAAAATTATTAATTTCCCAACATATATATGTTAGGTATGTTATTATACGTAATATAAGCCTCAATATAAGGTAAAATTCAACCACAAACGCTTCGCAAAACGTTTTAAAGTGCTGTTTAACTAAACTGTCTTTAATTAAATGGCTTTATCGATAAACTTTGAGTTTGCAATAAAATGATTTCAAATTCTCGCTTGCAAATAACTTTGCTTTCTTTTTTATTTATTTCAAAAATTCAATATAATAAAAAAGTGAATCAATATTAAAGATACACTGAGCGAAATTATATTCTGTCTTGTTTAGTTGTTTCATATACGCAAACGCCGTCGGGTTTTATTAAGCCATTATAAAATCAATATTTAAAACAAACTTACCTTCGTTAACGTCGGCTCCCTTCTTTTAGCCGATTCTTTCGAAGTTTCTTTCGGAGAGAGCGTTTGAAATTTACAAAATATTGCAAAAATGCGAGCAAAAAATGAAATATATTCGCAAGAAATTTATCAATCATGAATCATCAAATATTCAAATCAAGAAATAAACGCTATTTCGCTGTCGTCATGCAGTCGTTATAATGCAAACTTTAAATAGAACCAATCAGTGTCCGCTACTCATTACAGTGCGCCATATTTTTGAGGTCAGTGAGGATGACCACCCACCCAACACCGTTGGTGACCCACGCCCGCGATATTTGATGGACTTTAGACTCCGCTAATGCTTTCGTTTCCCCGGGTGTAAATAGCCGGGGGGAATTAGTACCCTCGCACGGCGCTTCGCGCCGTCGGCTCCGGGATTATTATTATTTTTATTATTATTATTATCATACTATAAAATACGGCGCAACGCAAAATATAGCCTATATATAGTTGGCTTCGCCTTTGCCGGAATAATTAAGAGTCCTTTTAGTGGAAACTCCTGTGCCAGATGTGCCATCTTTTGCTGGCAGGTTATGAAGATGCTCCATCTTCTTTTAACCAGTCGAAGCTAGATATGAGTCTGTGTTATTCCTTGTATACACTAAATATTAGTATGTTGCACTATAAATCACGGCGCGTGCAACACAAAGTACTGAGCGTTTGCTCCTTTTAAGCCCTTCTAGTGTGAAGATGCTTCATTTTTCTTAACCATTGGAAGCTATTGAGAGTCTGTATTACAGACTAACGTACGCAAATATATAGCCTTTCAAAATAAAATATCTTGTATAATTATATAATCTATTTTCCTCTCCTTGCGCGACCTTTTTCCAATGTAGGCCTATTGCAATCCGTAAGGGAAAACAAACTAGTAAGGAGATATTAATACCATATACCTAAAGAACGCATTGCGCATCTAAACCACAAGCATCTTTTGGCGCATCTAAGCCAAAATAGCATTGTGAATTAGCTACACCTGGAGCGGTATCTATAGCGGTATCCTGTAGTGTTAGCTCTGTCAACAATCAAGCCATTTATTTGTACTAAACTGTACCTAAAATATCATATAACATATGTAGGTTAATATTTGGACTTAAATTAAACTTATTAAATGTTTGATCTCACACTGTGTTTGAGCAGTTACTCCTGGATTGATGACATCGCATAGTGTTAATTGTTGGTGGGTAAGCTGCACCCGCTTCCTGAAAAATGCAAACTCAGTTTGCAAATCCCGCTGGTTTTCAAAACGTGCGGCTCGTCATGCCATGTTTCAAAATGAAACAAAAATAATAACGACTCGTACAGTAATTTTCCTCGCGCCATAATTCCCATGCAGTCGACTATTCCCGCGATGGGCGACATAGTATACCGAAAATGCCCCATTTTCAAACCGCGATTACTCGTCAGTTTGATGGGGACAATTCATTTTTTAAACTTCTTATAGAAAGAACAACTCTTCCTGAATACGATAGTGTGTCTTTTATTTAATTTACTCATTTATAAACCCAATTGTCCCCAGCGGTTTTGAAAGCCACTTTTGACACTTGTGCATTGACCCAGAAAACAGGTCAATACAAATTGCGATTAACATATAACTAAACGTTGTTAGAACACCAAATGAAGCAACAATCGTTAATTTGACTCATATTTAAAATAATTATGAAAACTTACCTTCAAAAACACGAACTGTTCGTGGCGAAATATCGAAATAAATATCCACAACTTTTCCAACTAACATTGTGATTAATCGTGATTGTGAATACTGATGAGTTGCAATGCATGCTGGGAAGATCTTCCACCCTCCTCTGATGTAATATCTTCTACTTGTATTAAATAATCGTCTCGTGCGCTTATGATGCGATAATACACGCGGGCAATGTTGAGAGAATACTCGAGAAGCGTTCAAAACAAGCTTCTCTCGTATCCGCCAAACATTCCCCGCGTCCATTATTATCACATCATCGACCACACGACTCGTTCTATTTCTTAAATTATAGTTCCTTTTACGAGAAAAGGTGTGTAATTTTACACGCCTTACTTCAGAACCATCCTCAGATATACGAAAAACCAGTTTCATGTTATTCTTATGACTGCAATAGACCAACGGAAAATTCGTTGGCTCGAGCGGGATTTGAACTCGCATCTTCGGGTATCTAGACCGCCGCTCTACTCATTGAGCTATCGAGTCAACGGGAATTGGTAGCGAGTCTTATCCAATTTAGGTACACTGATATTTTCGTGACGACTTTACGCTTGTCTTAGAGGACGCGCAGTATTTAAATTCTATTTTAGAACCATCCTCAGAGATACGAAAAACCACTCGACACGAAAATATTTCAATCCCGGCCGTTACCATTCCCGGTTGACTCGATAGCTTAAATCCTGCTCGAGCCAACGCATTTTTGCGTTGGTCTATTACAGTGTCAGAATAACATGAAACTAGTTTTTCGTGTCTGTAAGGATGGTTCCGAAATAGAATTGAAACACTGCGCGTCCTCTAAGACAAGCGTAAGTCGTAACGAAAATATGTCGTGCACTTAAACTGGATAAAACTTGCCACCAATCTCCATTGAATCGATAGCTCAATGAGTAGAGCGGCGGTCGAGATATCTGAAGATGCAAAATTTTAACAAAGGTAAATTAATTAATAGCCTTCAAGAGGTTCTTACTTTTGAGCTTCGTATTTAGTTGGCGACAGTACTCATGCTCTACATAAATCCACAACCAATGCAGGAAAATTATAGCCATAATCTTTCTTGAAACTATTTAATTTCAATGACTGCCTAACATACATTAATTTCGACTATTGTTTCGGTTTGATAGCTTTCCTCAAATAAACTACATGCATGGCTATGTTGCAGCTGCATATTCTAATTTTATGCTAATGCATTAAAACTTGAGTACGATCTAGCACCATGGGATGAACCTCCTGTCTTCATGTGTTTTGAGCAATCTTTGTCCTTGTTTTCGCCGTTGCTGCTTCTACACCCCATAGCACACGCATGTCCGTCGTACTGGTGCTTTCCCCAGGTCTCCACACAGAACATACAGGAATACAGGCACTGGAAACATGGAGAATCTCGATCACCTTCACAACGAGGAGGATCGTCTTTATGGAATTTCTTGCGATGGTATTTGGCAAAAACAGCTGTTGTAAATAAGACGAGCAACAATATTCCAACAAGCGAGTTCATCTTTAAGAAAAATATGGTAGTATATCATTTTCACCGACCTTTAGAACGATTACAACCTTTACAATCTAGCGCTAGCCGATTCGCGTATTCTCACACAAATTGAAGGTTTCGCAAATGTCTTGTCGCAGTGCGATTTCGTGCAGAAATCGCATCCCTTTTTAAGCCAATCACACTAGACTGGTGACCTCAGCCGACCAATCATATTTTATCATCCCCGAGCCGGCGGCGCAAAGCGCCGTCCGAGGGGAGGGAACTAATTCCCCCCCCCCCCGGCTATTTACACCGGGGAGAAAAAAGCATTAGCGAAGTCTAAAGTTCATCAATGAATGCGGGCGTCGGTCACCAACGATGGATGGTCATGAGTGTATCTAAAAGTCGAGAGTCGAGAGTATATAGGTCGAGAATCGAGAGTAAAAGTCGAGAGTCGAGAGTAAATGTCGAGAGTCGAGAGTAAAAGTCGAGAGTCGAGAGTAAAATGTCGAGAGTCGAGAGTAAAAAGTCGAGAGTAAAAAGTCGAGAGTCGAGAGTAATAAGGGGAGAGTCGATCGAGAGTAAAAAGTCGAGAGCAAATGCCGTCAGAAACAACAAAGTCAAAATATTGTTAACCACGTTTACATAGCCATTCCGTAACAAGTACCAACGGCTGAAATACAAACTTTCCAATAAATATTGCTACAACAGTAATAACGTGATAACAAAAACAAAAAAGATTGGATAAGAAAATAATATCGCATTTGATGCCTCAATCTTGCCAAATGTTTTCACATGTCATTTCATTCTAACTGATACATAAACTCGGCTGAATTTTGACAGCCATCTCCAGGCTTGTAACTAAAATGTCACTTATTCTTTAACGTACGTTTATATCAAATGAGAGCGTATTAAGAAATCCACGTTGATCACAATCTAACGATTCATACAATTGTGAATTCATAAATACGAGCCAGTAAAAATAGGATTCTTTTGTCGTATATGTGGTAATATGTCTCGCACGTGATTGTAAAGTCCTAGGTAGGCCTATTTATATGTAGCTTCACATATGAGTAATTTTTCGCGGAAATAGGTGCATGTAAAAGCGGGAAGGATGGACAGTAATATACAAGGAAGCGATAAAACTAGTTATTTTAGATAATAGTTATTATTATTGAATGTTGTGGCAAAATTTTTGAGAAAAGTTTTGTTTTATATTATACTGGATTATTCCTTTGATCGTATATGCCTCTTGTTTACTTTAATCTCGAGAATTTGAGCTTACTAATTATGTTTCGCAAATATTGTTTGCTTTATGTTCCGATACACAGGAAATGAAATTAGTTCAGCCGTCATAGGCGTACGGGCGGGAGCCAGACTGAATAAAATTTTCCGTGTAACTAAATTTCCAAAATTGTCGTTGGGAAGTAGACAAAAATATTTTCCTATTTGTCGATTCCTCGTTACTTTTACATATTTCTGGTATTTTCAAATACCATATTGCATGTACTGTCTTCTTTTTAAATTTATTTCCCCCAATTTTTGCCCGAATTTAAACGTTTATAATTTGCATGACTTTATGTTGACTGGGAGAGCGGGACTGCCTCCCCCCCCCTCGCCCGTACGGCTATAATCAGCCGTTGTTACGGATCGGTTATATATTGTGTTAAAAATATTTTGGCCCCCCAATGTGTTGTTTATGATGACATTTGCCGACTCTCGACTTTTTACTCTCGATCGACTCTCGACTTTTTACTCTCGATCGACTCTCGACTTTTTACTCTCGACTCTCGACTTTTTACTCTCGACTCTCGACTTTTTACTCTCGACTCTCGACTTTTTACTCTCGACTCTCGACTTTTACTCTCGACTCTCGACTTTTACTCTCGACTCTCGACTTTTACTCTCGACCTTTACTCTCGACTCTCGACCCTCGCCTTTTAGATACACTCGCTGGTCATCCTCACTGATCTCAAAAATATGGCGGACTGTCATGAATAACGGACACTGATTGGTCCAATTTAAAGTTTGCATTATAACGACTGCATGACGACAACGAAATAGCAAACATTTCTTGCAGTGCTTCCATTTCCGAACTTGGTAATTTCCTTATTTTTTCCTTTTTTTGACCGGAATTTCCTTCAAAAAATATTAAAAATTCCTTCTAATTTCCTTCTCAAAATCAGTGTTCAACAAACTCTCATCGAAGAAAATGTGTAATTTACTATAAATTATACACTACTTACAGCCAATTTTAACCAATTTTTAGTGACAAATATGAAGAAATTAGGAACTAATACATCGATCAAGGTTTTGTAGCTACATATCAATGGTGCAACTGCAGTAATACAGTAATTTAATTACCGTTGTAACATTTTCCCCGTGTTAACATTGTAAAATTCCCCTTCAAAAATCACGTGCTTATAAAATGTAAATGAGATATATACACGTGATTCTTGGGAATTTCAAAACATTGCTAACCTATAAATGAACAAATGACATATTCGAATATGAAAGCAACCTGAAGCTAAGAGTATTAATATTATACTGTGGAAAGAATGCGGTTGTGACTTATGCGGCTGCCTGTCCGGTTACTCTGCTTCCGCAAATCGAATTGAGACATATTTTACACTTTATTTCCAAAATTTAACTAATTTTAAGATATTTTTGTATTTTCCTTCAACTTTCCTTTATTTTTCTAGAATTTCCTTCAAATTTCCTTTAAAAATTATTTCCTTTTTATTTCCTTCATTTTGCCAAAAAATCCTTTCAAAAGGAAATTTCCTTCAAAATGGAAGCACTGATTTCTTAATTGATGATTGATAAATTTCTTGTAAATATATTTCATTTTTGCTCCTATTTCTGCAAGATTTTGTAAATTTCAAGAAAGAAAGGGCGAAAGAATCAGCTAAAAGAAGGGAGCCGACGTTAACGAAGGTAAGTTTGTTTTAAATATTGATTTTATAATGGCTTTAAAACCAGACGGCCTTTGCGTATATGAAACAACTATTAAAACAAGACAGCATATAATTTCAGTGTATCTTTAATATTGATTCCCTTTTTTATTATATTGAATTTTTTAAATAAAAAATAAAGCGAAGTTACTTGCAAGTGAGAATTTGAAATAATTTTATTGCAAACTCAAAGTTTATCGATAAAGCCATTTAATAGTTTAATAAAGGCAGTTTGGTTTTATAAAGAACAATTTAAAACGTTTTGTGAATTGTTTGTGGTTGAATTTTACCTTAAATTGAAGCTTCTATTACGTATAATCACATACCTAACATCTATATGTTGGGAAATTGATAATTTTGTAATTAAAAGTGATATTTTTAGGCGATTTTCATTTGTAAGAATATTCTTAAAAAATTATCGTGTTACCATAACAACTACTTTAGATACTTCATGTTCGAAAAATACAACGGTTTTGTCAGCAAGGCGAGGGTTTCTGCATGCATGTATTTTCTAGTAGATATGCCAAATGAGCAAAACAACAAATTTACATGTGAAAACGACAATTACTCTTGACTGCCTAAACAATTGCAATTTTTTACACAAAAACAAAAAAACATGGATAGCTAAACTATCAAAGAATTGCAAAGATATACATAATCTTCTATCAATCATGGTCAAAATAAAAAAAAGCAAATTTAAAGAGTAAGGCAAAACTACTAGGTAGTTTCGCTTATCGTATTCCCCCTACTGAACAAAAGAATACTTTCCCAGGTTTTCCTTTAAAGCTCCGAGTTTGACATGACCGTATATTTTTAATATATCTCCGTGATATTACTTTTAAAATGTTGATGATATGATTATCTAACAACATCGACCTCATTCTGTCAGTGCAAGGATGACAGATATTTGTACATTGTGGAGTATCTTGCACATTCTATAAACCTTTTCTAATATTCGCACAGTAATGCATTGTATCCTAATTAACAATCTGTAATTTAACAATATTTATTTTCTTGTTGCTTCATTGCTCGTTTTTCTAATAGCCTTCAATAAAAGATCTTTTTAGAAAATCAGGTATTTCTGCAAATTTATTTTGAGATAGGCTACTCTGATCTAATGGATGCTAGACCTGGTGGAATCCCAAGAATGCATGTAGACCCCAGTCATCTATATATTTTATTTTCAGTAAAATTAAAAAGATCGTGTTTGCATCGAATTCATCTTTTACAAAAGCGTGTCATTAGAATCATCAACAGGGAAGTATATGATGCGCATACCGATGCTATTTTTAGGAATCTAAATATCTTAAAGCTGAATAATATTTACCTATTTCAATTAGGAATCTTTATGTACAAATGTGAGAACAATTTACTGCCTGCGAATTTAGCCAGTTCATTTATAAAAACTAATCAAGTTCACAATTATATTACTCGCGCCTCCAGCTTATTTTATGTTCCAAGTTGTCGAACTAATATTAGAAAATTTTCCGCAAATTATCAGGGTCCTTGTTTTTATGGCTCTCTGGATGCTGGTAAACGTGATGTTGCATTAGTTTCTCTATTCCAATCGAAACTAAAAATATATTTATTTAATAATTGATCTATGTAGTGCGAAATATCAATATTTATTTTAAATATGCCACTCCTGCCTCAATGGTCTAGCTCATATATAATGCTAGTACATACTTGTTAATGATGGGTCCAAATCTATTATAAGCCTTATGGTTTCTATTTTGAACTTCCTCGCCACTTGATAACAAACTCGTTGTTTATGTCATTATTAATTTATCAATTGTTGTTTATCTATTTTTATTCTTTAAAAAGTTGTATTGTGTAGCAAATTTAATTACAATTACAATTATATGCTGAATGAGTTTAATAAAGAGGTTCAGAGATGGAGGATTTCTCTCTGAAAGCTGAAAAAGCGAAATAAAAAAAGACAATTTAGATTGTTCAGGAACGTAACAATTCTGTGTTCATTTCCACTGTTGAACTTGGGATTGCCAATAGACAAATAATATGTGTTTGAACAAATGTATCTAAAATATACATTAACACTCAGATTGTTATTGCCAA